AAAATATCTCCTACGTTGTCACCATAGCACCGTTTCTTTCCTCTTATTCCCGGATCGGATCATTATCGGATGTAGGCCATATCCTACCCGATATATATATATAACGTTACATCGTTTCTTTCCTCTTATTCCCGGTTCGGATCATTATCGGATGCAGGCCATATCCTACCCGTTCAGAAGCTACATATCACATGGGTTTCAAGTGGCACATTCGGAATCACAAGTGACACGCGGATCCGTTTGGGAGCTTCTACAGACGAGAAAAGAAGAAGAGCGCGGGCGAGGCCGAATTCCATCGACTGCTCGAAGAATCACGACACACGAGAAGTGAAGAGAGACGGGCGACAGGAACGACACTAAGAAGACGAGGAAGAGAGGAGCCTGTTGGGCTTCGGTTCGTGCGCTAGTCGAGGGTCCATGGTGGCGTCGGTGGCAGAGGAACCGCGACACGCCCCTGATCGCCGCGCGGAGCAGGCCAAGACCCTGGTCGGCGCCCTCAACCTCCTCTCGCGCAATCTCCCCCTCCCTCCCGATGTCTTCCGCGCCGTCTCCTCCATCTACCACGGCGATGAGCCGTCGGAGCTGCAGGAGATGGTGGAGGGCGGTGGTGCCCCAGCCTCCGCTGAATCGATTGCGGTCCGCGCCCTCTCCCTTCCTTTTTTGTCGATATATTTGAATCAGTCAGTAATCTTGGTTTGGATATAAATTAGGGTTTCAGCGAATTTCTATTATACGAAGGACTTTGTTACTGACTAAGAATTATGCATCGTTGGGATAATTATGCTAGAATGGTTATTCAAGATTTCAGAATCGGGTTAACTTTCACTTCTTGGATCATGTTTTTTGGCCTTGTTGTCGAGTTGATTGGTAAATCGTACAACGTTTTTGAGGTGATTCCTGGTGTGTTTTTTTGAATGTGTCAGGCGGTGACGTTTATAGGCGTAGGCTGTTGAATATGTGTCTCGTCAACGTAGAATGAATAGATGGATTATTGCTCCTAAATATACACACCAGAGCCATTGATTGAAAAAGATAATTGGTTGGACAAGATGGAGCTGCTGGCAATTCTTTATTGGTTATTTTTTTTTATGTTATTCATGTCTTGCATTTATTACATTTGTATTTCTTAAATAGCTAAGAGACCTGATGATATTTCTATTGCGACTTGGAAGAGTTTAGGAGATCAATGAATAGTTTGATTGACTAGTTTATCTAACAAAATTTTAAATATTTTTAAAAAATAGCTATTGAATGAAGAGCTTTTTAATACCAATGTATTTGGATGAGAGAGCTATCCAAAATCATCTTAATTATTAGATATGGTTCTGAAATCCTTTGTAAAGCTAGATGGTTCTCCATCAGGAGGACTTTGAAATTGTGGCATTGGAAAAAGAATGAATGATTACTTTTTTAACTTTGAAATCGTGACACTAGAAAAAGAATGAATGCTTATTGTTGACTGTCATAAGTAATTCTATGGGGTAATAGGATCATGCTTCTAAGTATGTAAAGATCTTCATGATAAATTGAATGGTGGGTTTTTATGTGAATAAAAAAAGAGCTTTCATTGGAGCCCAAATGCTCCATCAGAATGGACTGTGCACACCAGCAGATATCCTGTTGGTTATCGAGGTCTGAACTCAATGGATGTGAGTTAGGCCAGAATCTGATTTCTCCTGTTTAGACAGAGAATCATCATGCTTTTCTTGCCTCGGAAATTTGTACCGAGTGAAAAACTAGACAATTATTATACCTTGCTTATCGATACTGTTCTTTTGATTGTGATATTCGTTTTTTTTTTCTGAACATGCTAACGCTTGTTGAGCCATGGTAATGATTGCAGTGTTGTGATGAAAGCACATTGTTGAACCAGAAAACTTAGTTTCTAAGATAATTTTCTACATCCCTATTTGAAGGTTATAATGCTTTCTGAAGTTCATAAGCTTGAACGTTATAAGCATCCCTCAATTTGTTCAGATGTTACTGCAACTCTTTCAATCAAGGTTACTTCCGGAGTACTTTTCAGTGTTTCGTTGTTCATATTTAAACATCCAGCATGAGGAGAATAATATGGCTGGCATAGATCCATTTTAGTATGATACCAGACATGTTGTAGTTGATTGTTCGATTTATAATTTTTAGAGACTGAAGTCCGACTTTTTAACTGGAAAAATGGTTTGACAGTAAAAGTGCATGTAAAATGAAGAGTGACGATTCATGGAAGGACGAGATCATGATCATGTTTGTCCCTTCATAAATTATTTATACATATGTTACACAGTTATGATGACCCAAGGATTGTACTTTGACATATTTTTTATATTTGTTATAATGGGTTTGACCCTTGGTACATTAATAGGGTTTCTCGATTGTGTACTAAGGATTAATGAGCAATCACTAAATTGTATATGTTCAGGACACTGGATTAATGGGTGATTGATGCAACCAGCTAACCCTTTTATTTTGTGTGCATTTGACAGAGTTGGTTTTCTGCCTTTTGTTTTAGCTTGTATTCTTGGTCATCATAATGGAGTTGGAATGATGTGCCAGCATTTAGACTGTTCCTTTCATGCAGATTAATGGAGTGCCAGGCGAAGGTAGTTTGATAGTAGCGCTAGAGGATGTCTTGTTAAATCAGCAATCGACTCGCATGTGTAGTTCGGCGCTGAGAGAATCAAAAGAACGTCATTTCAACAGTCTCATTCAGCATCGTCTTGCAGAACTTGAGGGTAATTTTTATTATCAAGAGTTTGATTGCTTTTTTCTGTTTATTTTGAATCACTTGCATGGAATTTTTTCTCATGGATTTAATGTTTTTGCTTAAAAGTGTCCTGGTGTCTGAGACATCTTTATCATGCTGTACATGTACTTTTTTATACAGTTTGCTATAATTGTTTATCACTGTTTTGTTTAATCATTAATTCTTGTTGGCATCAATGCTATGCTACCAGAAAATAACAAATTATCACCTTTCACTCAAGGTTTTAAAATTTTGGTACTTGTACCCATGCCAGACCACAGAGTATGGAGTGCCTTAGCGAAAAAAGAAAAGATGCAGTAAAACTTTTGTTGGAGCTTCTTTTTCTTTTCTTCTTGTGTAATCCTGTTTCTGTGCATATGTATCTCTACGTGAATTTCCTCCAGTAGTCCAGTTATAGCTGTTAGTTTTGTTAGTTTTAGAAAATATAAACATTTGGTTTTTGATTGCTATAACATTGATCAACAGCATCGTAGCTTAAGTTTACCGGCTAGTTTATATGATTCTTGTAAAATGAAAAAGTTATTTCCATCTGATTTTATGAAAATATTTTCATTTGATATAGGACATTTGCTATATTATTTGGTTTGTTGGTAGATATATCTTTATTTTTCAGCCAACTGAACGTGTCTGTTGAATCAGTATTACCATCGAGTAGGGGTGAAGATTTGCAAATGAAGTGCTTGCTTGAGCTGTATGGCATAAAGGTAATTTTGTAGCATTTATCATTTAAGGTTAAGCTTTTTGACATTCATCAGTCAAATAACAAGAATGAGTTGATGGTGTACTTAGAGAACCTGAACAGGCATTTTTGTGCTTATGTTTCATAGTACAACATTGATACTCACTTATTCTATACTTGGATGATTATTCCTTTTGGATATTCTTAATGCATATTATTTCTCTACTCTCTGAGTACTGTGATGCTTTTACTGTATTGATCAAGTGGCAAACAAGTGTCAAAGTGCTGCATGTCATGCTATTGCTGCCTGATGACAACATGGTATGTAGCTCATGTGCCTGTTGTTACAAGTACTAGCATGAGCGAATGCATGAAATCTACATGTTTGCATTTTACATGGCATATATCTGAGATGCTTGATTCTAGGAAGCCCCCATGGTATACATTTACACTGTGGGGCATACATCTAGGTTCATAGCTGACATTTGCTTACGCAAAATGAAGTTCCATTGGTCATGTTAATTGTTATTAACATTTCTGATCAATGAGAGACTGAAAGTAGGTGATGGATAAACTTAGGTCTTTGTAAGGTGCAAGTATTATTAGTTGTTTGAGCGAATGCTATGTAAATGTGAAAAGGCAGCTCCTCTATTTAGGAGATTTAAGAGATCATTAAATGCTGAAAATAGTTGAATTAGTAGTGTTACTGCTTTGTGCTAAAATGAGTGCATTCAATATGAGGAATTGAGGTTGAGGATCATGTATGATTCTATTACTGGAAATGATAAGAACAGTAAATGGTTTCAGTTTTTGCAATTTGGATGTTGCATCATTTGAGTGAGTTAGCATGATCAAGCAATTGGATCTAAACTTAGTTGCCTATGGAGTTTGCGAGTGCCAACCATAAAGTCAACTACAAGATGAAAAAGTGGTCAGAGGGTGCTGTGGGTTTCCTTGTATTGGCCTCTCAGACACCCAAGTCAGACATCTCCATTATGAAGGATGATGATTATAACTAAACTAGAGAGAAATAGTGTAGAGTATGTATGAGAGTGATGTCCAGGAGAGTCCTTACCTTCCATGTTTTAAAAAGCGCTAGGTGTCAAAACGTGCCAAGGTCCCAAAAAAGCCTGAGGCTCTAGGCGCCCGCTCGAGCAAAATGAGATGCTCTGAAATATTAAACTATAAAAATATATAATACAATTGATAAATATGATTAGGTGGACACTTCTTGCATGCTGATGCATTCTTGAAGTTCCCTACTTGATGCTGCTTTGCATGGAAAATGCTACATTTAGTAGTCTTATCACAGAAGATACAAGTAACTGCATTATGATCTTTGGGATCCTTTAGATAATTGTATTCCAGGCAAAATCATTTTTTAAAATTTTTAATAGATCTTCTGAATTACTTTGTACACTTATCATTAATCTTGAACCTGAAACCCTAATAATAGTTCTTAATAAATAGATATTAACAATGCTAAATAGGGACTATTATATGGTAATAGTAGTTAACACTTAAATAGTAATTTTAATACTAGTTAAGGATTAACAATCTACTGTTAACAATATTTAATCCATTGTTAACAGTAGTTGGAGGGGGATAAAAGAGTCATCGATAGTGAAACGTGGGGAAGGAGAGAGCGATAGTGATAGAGGAACTTTTGGACGATGGCAACGACGACGGAGGAAGCTACGGACAATGGCAACTGAGACAGTGAAAGCTTCGGATGGCGACAGTGGTGGCAGCGATAGTTACGGACTACGACGTCGTGGGTGGAGGAAGCTTTAGATGTGTCTGTCGGTGGCGAAGGAAGCTGTGGTCTTATCCCTCGGCGGTGGAAGGAGCTGCTCACAAAAGCAGGATCATTGGAGGGAACCACGCACAAAATCTATTTGGACTCGTTCGTCGACGGCAGAGGAAGCATCAGACTTATGCATCGGCGGCGAAGTTGAGACGACTATAATACTCAATTGAAAAGAGAGGGGGGGGGGTCGCGAGGGGCGGGGTTTTATTGAACCGACTAAGCTACTGTTTAACCGAACTAGAGTTGATCATCTAGTTCGGTTGCTTTGCTTCAACTGGGTGCTTGCCCGCGCGCCTAGGCGGCGCTTTACTAAAGCGTGTCGGATGCGCTTGGCCCTCGCCTCACCTCACCCGAGCGCCTTTCTAAATTACTAATTACCTTCCACTTATTAGGAGGTTTTGTCTATGTAGGTTTGTGCTAGGTTCTGATAATATCATATAGTTGATTAGATGGGCCTCCTAGATCACAAATTGGATGATATACATAGGTTGAAAATGACCAAAGGTAACTTCATAGAAGCAGTTGTACAATTCAGTATCACCCTCACAATCGACCAAGTTTGTTACCTTATATTTAACTGGAAGATAAAATGATTTCATTTGGTCAATCCAAATGAACTTAGACTTGAGATTTTGTAGTGGCTGCATTATGATCTCAACATTTTTATTTTATGAGATTTAGTGCTTTTTATGAACTTGGACTTGAGATTCTGTAGTGGCTGCATTATGATCTCAACATTTTTATTTTATGAGATTTAGTGCTTTTCTTGGTTCAAAAAAATTGATTCATTATTATCCTGCATGCAAGTTGTATCATTGTGGAATTATTCAATGAATAAAACTCTAGATGTTGTTTTAGTGTGCATTTGGGTTGTGCTTGACATATGTGTTACATGAATGTGGACTTTGAATAAGAGTTATATCCAAGTGAAGTTGTTCTTTGACGAGTCTATTTTGTACTTCTAATTGAAACTTGAAAATTTTAACCATAAATTATGTTTTCTGAAAAAATACATCTTCAAAGACTTACCGCATGACACATTACTGCTTAATATATAGGATAGTACATCGCATACTGGGAGCTCTCTAGTTAGATATTAACAGAAGATTCTTCTATATTAAGAGGATAAACAATCACATGCATTTGTCTTTAGAAGATATGCTTAATTTAATTAATAATGAATTTGCCAATATGTATTGCTTCATTGTATGTAGCATGTGAAGTTATCGTCATAACATGTTGCATTTTTGAATTACAGATCAATTAATGTTAGATGTAAATTAAATGTCTGTACATATATATAAACACACACATATATATGTATATATATGTATATATATATATATATGTATATGTATGTATGACTATCACAAAGCTGTAATATGTAAGCAATAGAAAAATCCAAGTCAGTCTCAAAGATACAAAAGTCTTGCCTATGCTACAGTGTTAGGATCCTTTTTCTGAGCTTTTGAATAATGTTTATTGAGTCTATTTAGTCCAATTGTTTATTGAGTCAGTTTGGTTCAATTAGAGTCAAGTAGAGGTTTATTTAATATTTATTTATTATTAGAGTTCAAGTCCTGATGAACTCTGGGTGGAACTCTATAAATAGGGATGTAACTGTTTCTTTTCAGTAATCTATGAAAAATACTATTTTTGTCTTTTGACAAACCCTAGGAGGCCGATCCCCTCGAAGCGATCAAGGAGGGCCTCGAAGCGATCAAGGAGGCCGATCCCCTCGAAGTGATCATCCCCTTTCTCTTCTTCTTTTTTACGATAATACTTTAGGGTCTTATCATTTGGTATCAGAGCGACGATAAGACTTTAGGGTCTTATCATTTGGTATCAGAGCAACGATCCTTGGCGCAGCCCGCCGCAGCCTTGCTTCCCTTCTTCCCCACCACCACTACAAGGCAACTCTTTCTTCACCGTTGTCGTTGTTTCCCCGGCCAGCAACCTTCGACCACCGCTCGACCTCCTCGCTGTCCCATCTCGTTCAAAAAAATAAAAAAAAAGAAAGAAAGAAAAAGAAAAGAAAAACACGAGAGGAAGAAGAAGCCGCAGCCACCCCTGCGTCCCCTGCTTCCGGCCAGCCCACCCGCCGCTACTGCTCTCCGGCCAGCGCCCACCATCGCCCCGCTTCCCGGCCGGCGACCACCGCCGCCGCTGTTCCTCGGCCAGGAGACGACGCTGCCAGCGTCCATCCCAGCCCTACTGCTGTCGCCCGCCTCCCCTTGCGTCGCAGCGCAGCCGCTCGACCTCTCCTCCTCGGCGATCGTTGGTGACGCTGCTCCCAGCCGCGCCACCATTGCTGCCTCTCCACCGTCGCCCACCTCCCCTTGGGTCGCAGCCGCAGCCGCCGATTGTCGCCCTCCTCGCGGCGACCGAAACAGGGCAACTCATGGATTGCCCTTATTCCCAGCCGCGTCACCACCACTTTTCCCAGCCGCATCGCCGCCGCTCGATCACCCGGCCAGCGACCTCTTCTCCTTGCGTCCCCATCTCGCTCGAGCGAGAAGGACCGCCGGCACCGCAACCGTAGCCGCCGGTTGCCGCAGCCCCTCCTTGTAGCGGTTGCAGAAACAGAGCTTCCTCTGTTGCCGCAGCCCCTCGTCGATCGCAGCCACGCCTCGAGCGCCGTCGCCTTCCAGCCGACCCACCACCACTGCCAGCCACCGTGCGGCGGCCACTGCTCGCCTCCCAGCCGCCGCTCCCCCTGGCTCGGGCGAGAACAACCGCCGCCACTCACCCTTGCTCTGCCCCCTTGTGACCGAGAAACAGTGCAATCCTCTTGCTGCTGCGAATGCCGGTTGCCACCACCGTCGCCATTGCTGCCCAGCCGGCGACGACGCCGCTCGCCGCCCAGCCTGCCACGACTGCTGCTGCCAGCCACCGCAGCCTTCACCTCAACCCCCTCGATCTGCACCGTTGCTGCAGCCCCCTTGCACTGCATCTTTGCCACAGTCGTCGGTTGCCACCACTACAGCCTCAACCCCGACCGCTTCAACGCCACCTCCCTCTTGTTCTGCCTCCGCTGCTGCAGTTGTTGGTTGGCATCACCGCAGCCTCAACCCGGCTTCTCGGCGATTGTTTCCTTGGGTCACAGCAATCACAACCGTCGCCTTTCAGCCTCAGCGCTCTCATCTCACACAGTGACAAAAACACAGGGCAGCAACTCTTCCTCCATCGCAGCCACCGCAGCGGCGAGTCCTTGCCGGCGCTGCCCCCAACCACATCACCATCGCTGCCTCCCAGCCCTCGGCAGCAGCGATCCCTCCACGCAGCGACTGCAACAAGCATCGTTGCCTCTCACCAGCGCCTCCTTCCGCAGTGTGACAGAAACAGAGCAACGCTGCCTTCCATCCGCGCCGTCATAGCCATTGCAGCGGTGAGCCCTTAGCGGTGTTGCCCTAGCCGCACCACCATCGCTGCCTCCAAGCCATCAGCAACAGCGATCCCTCTACGTAGCGACCGCAACAAGCATCGCTGCTTCCCATGCGGCGACCGCAGCTACATCCCTGCATCCTTGCAGCAACCCTTCATTCACATAGTGTTGCCACCGACTGCGTCACAACAACAACACCGAATAGGGCAGTGATTGATGCCCTTGACCAACACCAAAAATAGGTGTTGAGATTACAGATTTGCAGTTTTACGAAATGACCACCGATAACTCAGTGAAAGCACAAATGGAAGCATTGAAAATTAGAATTGAGAACCGGTTACAAGAAGTACTTAATGATTTCAAAAAAGATTTACTGGGGAGCCTTAGTAAATTTCAACAAGGTGGGAGCTCAAGTTCTACATTGCACAGATCTGGAAATACTAGAAAAGGGCCCCAAGATTGTGACACAATCTACTCATACACGAAGGTGGATGGACAGCTCTAAAAAATTTGTCAGACTTCTACAGTGTTGGAATATCAGAGTAGGTTTGAAAGATTATCAAATCAAGCTAGAGATTGGTCGGAACGATAACTTCTGGATATATTTATTGAAGGTCTTATTCCAGAGATCCGATGTGAAGTTAAGGCTCGTCAACCTCGCACTATGATAGCTGCGATCTCATTCGCACATCTACATGAGAAAAAAATCAACAGGGAAAATCATGGAAACAGAAGTGACAATAACCAGATGATCAGTAAGCCACCAGCCCTATCTATTCCCAACCAAAGCCTTGACACCCGAAGACTAACCCAAGAAGAACTTAAGGAAAGATCAGCAAAGGGTTTGTACTATGATGAAAAGTGGAGTATAGAGCACCGATGTAAACAAGGGCAACTTCTGATGATTGAGCCAATTAGAGAGGAACTGGAAGTAAAAGAGTTGGACTCCGATCATAAAGGTATGAAAACTGATGAAGATATTGAAGCCATCACACATACAGTGCATGCATTAGCTGGCTACACTAACCCACAAACTATGAAAATCGGAGGAACTTTGAAGCATCAACCTGTCACTATTTTGATTGATACAGATAGCACTAATAATTTTATGGACAGGAAAGTTGCAGTCCAATTAGCCCACCACATTGAAGGATGTGATATATTCGAAGCTGATGGACGAATTTTAACTTATGATAGTAAAGACCAGGAATTTCTTACAACGATTATTACATTGAAAGATCGACCTATTGCTTACACTGTCAAAAAGTGGAGACCATACTTACTTGATCAACGGGTTGTGATGCGTTGCAGATAGCCTATGACTGAAGTGCTAAAAGACAAGCTCCTCGAGATTGATGCTGCTCAGCCTTGAGGACAAGACTGATTTGAAGAGGGAGGAACTGTTAGGACCATTTTTCTGAGCTTTTGAATAATGTTTATTGAGTCTATTTAGTCCAATTGTTTATTGAGTCAGTTTGATTCAATTAGAATCAAGTAGAGGTTTATTTAATATTTATTTATTATTAGAGTTCAAGTTCTGATGAACTCTGGGTGGAACTCTATAAATAGGGATGTAACTGTTTCTTTTCAGTAATATATGAAAAATACTATTTTTGTCTTTTGACAAACCCTAGGAGGCCGATCCCCTCGAAGCGATCAAGGAGGGCCGATCCCCTCGAAGTGATCAAGGAGGCCGATCCCCTCGAAGCGATCATCCCCTTTCTGTTCTTCTTTTTTACGATAAGACTTTAGGGTCTTATCATTTGGTATCAGAGCGACGATAAGACTTTAGGGTCTTATCATACAGATCTCTGCCACTAGTGTTACTGTACATAATTAGTGCAAGGGTTTCTAGTGTTGCACTGCAAAAGCTAATGTAGTATTAAATTTAGGGTAGCTGCTCATTTACCAAAGAATAATTGGACCATTTTGTCTTCTCTCTGGCATAAAACTTGTCCTTTGCTGACATAGTAGCAGAAACAAGTGATTGATTAATATGATTTTGTGTAGTTAGAAGTTTCACAAAGTTTGATGGACAATTTCTATTATAATGAGTCAATATATGATATGTAATTGATATTTACATTTTCCTTTGTGACTATATGCTGCTTTCCTTCATTTCTGGTAAACATCTTTTCTTTTTTTTAGCTTGTAGACTTGCAGAGGAAGGTGCGGTCTCAGGTGAGTGCAGAATATTGGTTGCACAAAAAATGTGCACATCCTGGAAAGACATTGTTTGACTGGGGAATGATGAGATTGACATATCCATTTAACATGTATGGAACTGGAGATAGTTTTGCAATGGAGGCCGATAATCGTCGTCGGAAGAAAAGATATGTAGAGGTTCTCTACTGCTATCACCTTAAGTAACTTTTAGAAATCTTTTCTTGTTCTTGTTATTTAAAAGGGACAAAAAGATACATATCTCACTAGAGGATTCTCATGCAGAGGCTGTCAAAATTAGAAGAGGATGAAAAGAACCAGGCAGATATTGGCAAGAGGAAATTTTTTGCTGACGTTCTTAATGCTGCCCGTGAGTTTCAGTTACAAACACAAGCTGTTTTGAAGAGACGGAAACAGCGGAATGATGGGGTTCAGGTTGTGATTATGTTTAATTTCATTTCTTTGCTTAACCTTTTTTTTTCTGAAAATTCAATTTGATGTATGAGATGTTGCTAAGTATGGCAAAGCCGCTAAGAGTCTGTGGTCTGCTTTTCTTTGGTTTGTCCTAAGTAAGCAAGCTATCCTCGCTGTAATTAAGAGTCAATAGGCATTTCTGTTGCAGCTTGACATGTCTGCAATTTGCCTGAACATAATTCTATAGCAGATGGTGCCGAGTGGAAATTAGCTGCTTAGCAGAGCTTGATGCCTTTTTGTTAAGTGATTTTTCACATATATTTGATCATTCAAAATAATGTTTTCTCATGAACATTTAGAAATTCACAAGACAAAAAGGTGCTAATTGGTGTTGCTATAGTATAATTTCTGTTGTATTTTATTCAAAATTTTTTCCATGTTTGGTTGGGACACTCTGAGTTGTTCTTTGGCAATGTAGGCATGGCATGCACGGCAAAGGCAACGTGCTACACGTGCTGAGAAGTTGAGGTTCCAAGCATTAAAAGCAGATGACCAAGAAGCTTACATGCGGATGGTAGAAGAAAGCAAGAATGAACGCTTGACAATGCTTCTTGGAAAAACAAATGAACTTCTTGTTTGTCTTGGAGCTGCTGTACAACGGCAAAAGGACGCAGAACATACTGATGGGGTTGAAGCTGTGAAAGACTCGGGTACCAATAGTCTTCCACACATCTCTATCTCTAAGAATGAAACCCCTGAGGGATTCTCTCTAGGCAACGGTGATGATGCTGTTGATGTGAAGTCTAATCAGAACATAAAAGCCACTGATTTGCTTGAAGGACAACGTCAGTATGACTCTGCTGTTCATTCAATTCAGGAAAAGGTACAGTAAGGGCAATGTTTACTATGAGCTTTCTAAATTATGTCATGAAAACAAATTATTTATACATCAATTTTAGATTGTCTTTGTGGTGTATGTTGGACCCATCATTATCTTATTCAGGTGATAAACCTAGCTTTCTTTAAGTAATTTTGCAACCATTTCTCTGCTACAACTTTTGTTGTTTTAACTCACTTAAGAGGGTTAAGAAAGAGTCTGGTAATAAGTTGTGTTAACAATTAGGGATGTGTCTTATTTTGTGAAAGCATATTACATGGTAAAATGAGATTGTGGATGTTAAAGAGTATTGCCCTCTATGAAAAGAATGTTATTTTTCTCTCTGTGTTTGTTTGTTTGTTTGCATGCATTAATGTCTTCTTTCTCTTCTACTATTTTTGTGTTTTTCTTCTTAGTAAACTGAATATATTAATAGAGGTCTTATATTACTTTTGGAAATCCAAACTTCACCTTTATTTGGGTCAACTAGGAGAGGATTGTTAAATTTCAAACCAATGATTTCAATAGGCGCTCGGGCGCTCGCCTAGGCGCTTGGGCGAGGTGAGGCAAGGCCCGAGCGCCTCATTTAATGTCCAGGCGATGCGCTTCAAAGAGGCGCCACCTGGGCGCTCGCCCGAGCCCAGGCGTTGGGCGCTTCGAGCGAGCGCCTTGGTTAAACCGGACGACTGAACCAGTGTTTTAGGTTTGGTTCGATCGAATTTGCGTTAGTTGGTTCAATCGAACCAACTAAACCACCGATATCAGCCTCCAACATCCCTCTCACGACTTCTCCAGCCCTAACCCTGCTCGCGATTCCGTCATCGATATTTCCTCTCCGCTGTCGCTACCTCTCTCTGCTGTCGTTGCCTCTCTCCGTTGTCGTTGCTCTTCGTTGCCACTGTCGCTACTCGCTGCTGCCACTATCACTGCTCGCCGCTACCGTTGCTTGCCGTTGCCACTATCACTACTCGCTGCTGCCACTGTTGCTGCTACTCGTTGCTACCGTTACCGCTGCTCTCAGTCAGCAGCCTCGATCTTACTCTTACTCACTCTCTTCTTACATCGACTCGATTTAGTATACTGTGAACAATATACTATTAACTGCATATTGATAATAGTATTTTTTTATTTATTAGATTAATAATATCATATTATTATTTAAATAATTATATTTATTAATTATATTATATATTTTTATATTTTAGTGTCTCACTTTGCTCGGGCAAGCGCCTAGCGCTTAGCGCTTTTTAAATCACTGTTTCAAGTTGGATTTCCTGTTTGCTTGGAGCAATTGAAACTATTTACTTAAATTTATCAAGAATCAAGGCATGATGTACCCAGATCTTGCTGGCACTTCACCATTCCATGCATGAAGGCCTATCTCAGGGCAATTTAGTGCATATCAATGTGCATGTGGTGCCATAACAAGACCTGATGAGATGAAATGCAAACATTGAAATGCACCTCCTTTCCATGCCTATGTTTCACGGCCAATATATAATATGGGATGATCAGTACATATGTATATGTGATTATGTGTAAACAAGGATAGGTGCAGAAACAATATCCGACATGGAAGAATTGAAATCTTTGATGTTAGATTTTATGTTTTCTAGAATGCTTGGTTTACGTTGATAGAATTAAATGAAGCAAGATATTTTATGTGCTTATTGGCATAACTGTTTTATATATGATGATGTCTGGTTGCTTGTAATTGTATTTTCTTTTATAACCTTCAAGTTTGATCTAACTTTGACTCTAGCAAAGGACGGTAAGTCAAGTGATATTTTCATCTTTCTCAAGATTGTTGAAGCATGAAATTGATCCAAGTCTGACCATTGCCTCTTGTTTTAAGTGCATAACAATTGAATTGTATCTCTTAATGAGTACATGTATATATATACACCATGACGAGGGTGAGTCTTGGTGTTATGATGTGTTACTTATCGGAATCCAGATGTGATGGGTTTAAATTACAGAATAAATATTTCTGTAGGTAGAAGTAAGGCTGAATATCACAAAATCTGCATTGACCGATGCATCACAGAGTGGGCTGTCCTTTTTCTTACACCAGAATATTAGTGACAGTTTTCAATCACTGAATAATTAAACAGATGAGTTTGATATGTTATTATGTGGTAGTCATTTCTTCATTTATTAGAAAACTTAATTTAACAAGGTCTAATTTAGCTCTCACAGTGGTTCCACTTGGATACTTATATACTTTCAGAACTTCATCTATTGTTACTGAGGTGCATACAGAAGTTATTGACTTTCAAGTCCTTTCAGATCTTTACGTCTTGAATGAGAATCTTTTAGTGCTATGTCTTAAGTATCCTTCAGGTTTGGATTGAAAAGGCTGAAATTCATAATGTTCACAAGGTCTTATGATATCAGTTGCAAACATATTTTCACCAATAGAGAATGCAATTCTTTTTATGCCCTGTTTGACATGGGGATTTTATGGGCTTTTCCCCTTGACATCCCAGGATTTCACCCATACGCCTCCTCATGCCCACCTAGGATTGGGAACTTAGAAATTCTGGTTAGCTGCCCAATATACAGGGATTTGGGTTCTAATTCCAACGATAAGAATCTTGGGAACAGTAGAATAAATATAAATCCCTCCAACTAAACACAAGAACAAGTTGGAAAATGAAAATTCTAGGTTGAGATTTTGAAAATGTGGCTAAAGACAAGTTGAGGAATTCTATTGGAATTCAAATATAATATTGTAACATATGAAAAATTTTAGGCATATGATCCTCATACCAAACAGGGCCTTTGGAGTACATTGTCGCTGAAGAATGCCATTTTTAGCTCCAGTTGTGGGTGTGCGACAATAAATGTCTCTTCAGTTGGCCTTCTTTGACGCTAGGTACAGATATGGACAAGACGATTCACAAATGATTTTATCTAATACATATTTTTCTTTTGTAATTTTGCACTGCTGGTACTCTATTTAATTGAATAACCTTCAATGAGATGTGAGTACTAATCTTCAAATCTCTGGCATGTCCTAGGTAACAGAGCAGCCATCGATGCTTCAAGGTGGGGAACTAAGACCTTACCAATTAGAAGGACTACAGTGGATGCTTTCCTTATTTAACAACAATCTAAATGGTATTCTGGCTGATGAGATGGGTCTAGGAAAGACAATCCAGACCATTGCACTAATTGCATATTTAATGGAAAATAAGTGTGTTACTGGACCCCACTTGATTGTAGCTCCAAAGGCTGTGTTGCCAAATTGGATTAATGAATTTTCAACTTGGGCACCAAGGTGTGTACCTTGTCTTGAAAATAATTTAGATTACAGATGCCTCATTTCTCTTACATTTTTGTTCTCTTATTGGCACAGTATCGTGGCTGTTCTATATGATGGGCGCCTTAATGAGAGGAAGGCGATGAGGGAAGAGTATTCCGGACAAGGCAAATTTAATGTGATGATCACACACTATGATCTGATAATGAGAGACAAAGCTTTTCTAAAGAAAATACACTGGTATTACATGATTGTTGATGAAGGACATCGCCTGAAAAACCATGAGTGTGTTCTTGCCAAGACACTCATCTCAGGGTATGGTTCCCTTCAGAAACTGAATTTGATGAAGTCAATATATTTATGTTTGTTCAATACTAATTTTTCCTCTTTTTTGGGAAACAAAAATTAATCCTGCAAGTCTGCTACTTGGATGGAAAAATACAAGACTACATTTAGCTTGCTCAATGGAATATTTAAAATTTGAAAAAGGGAAAGTTTTGTTTTGACAAAAGAATATATGCACCTATGAAATCATTTAATGAACACTATGAGGATTGGTTGTTTATTCAAGATTATCTCAAGTGTTATAAAAGGAACCCTCACCTTCAAGACTTTCACCAAGCAATATATGATCATCATCTTCTTTGAAGTGCTCTTGTTGCGAATTGATTAAGCAAGGTTTGATAGATGGGTTCGCTAAAATCAAGCATGCATAGAGTTAAATAGAGCAAAGCAGGGGACAGTAAGTGAAGTTCCATTGCAAGTTTAAGATTTTAGCTGTATTAGTGATAATGTAGGCTGTAGATGAAACCTATTTGCTATGTTGATATAGTATAGATGAAAACTATTTGCTATGTTGATATAAAGAAGCACAAACTCCTCGGCTCCATACGTGAGCTAAGTCTGTGAAGGATAAATGCAGGGGATCTATCCTATAGAACAATTGAAAATGCCTAATACTAATAGAATCTTAATAAATTTATTTCTTACAAAATCTAGATAGTCTACATGTCCATTGAAGCCCTTGAAATTATGTCTTTTAAATGTTGGAAGTTCTAGATGTAGGAAATTTGAAACTCTAGAAGATTGATGGTGGAGAATAAGAAACTATAGTGAAAAATAAAGCATGAAACAAAACCTTGGAATTAGGAAATTGACTCATTTTTTAGCTTACATAGTATAGTAATTCAATGGCGGCAATGTTGGTCCCAAGCCCAGATAAAAAAGGTGAAAGGTTGCGTTAAATCACTGACAACCAGCATAAAACTGTATCAAATCTTATGAACATGGATTTTAAGGCTTTTGACAGATTTCAATGATGGTAAAAGATCCATGTATCCGACCCTAAATAATCCGGACTTACAACTTTGTTGTTGTTATTGTTGTGTGGTATAGTAGTTCAATCTCATGGTTGTCTTAAGTCTCTTGACCGTACCATGGTTGAGTAGATTAACCATAAAACAATGTACCATATGTTTTGAGTTATTAGGCATCATTTTGCAAATGTGAAGAATTGAATGGCTAATATGCAAATATCATTTTTTAGGTGCGTAAACAAAAAAATGCCACTTTTACCTGGGATTCTAGATCTTGCATGTTTGCCCTTCAAGGGTCTAATTGGGTTGTATTTGTGAAATGTTTTAACATCTCTTGTTTATATGGAACCTAAAGGGATATAGGCAGAAAGATGGACCTTATTTTTTACACAGTTTTGAAATCAATGATTGAAATTTCGTACCGTACCAGGCGATATTATTCAAAATTAGATGGAACTTATTTTTGAACACAAAAAAGTTTTTTTTTTACATAGGGCAAGTGGTGAAGACGGGATTTGATCACAAGACGTTGTGGTCATGTGACAAAGTCTTTTACCAGCCGCTAGCTAGCACCTTCATAAATTTCAACTTGCTGCTTGAGGCTTGTGTTTGGCTAGTTCTTACTCGTGCATGTTGCTATGATATTTATTACTTCATCGATCCTATTCTTGTTTCTAGGGAGGAAAAAGACATTTCAAAATTTCACATCACATCATTATATACCTAGTATGAATTTCTATCCTGGAGATAAAGGATCTTACCTCGTTGTGAGATTTCTTTTCTCGATTAATAAAAGCTGATATCTTTGTTCTGAATTCAGATTAAGCTCTTTGCTTCTGTGAGGAAATAATGCTTAAGAAATATGTTTCTACTTTCTAGATCCTTGTAGTTTGTCCCTTAGTAAATCCTGAGGTCATCCCTTCTTCTTTTTTTTCTTCACTATGTTGATTTTCTAGTATTGTCTATTGCTTATGAAAACTAGGTGTCATTATATGCAGCTATCATATACGTCGCAGACTACTTTTGACTGGTACTCCGATACAGAATAGTTTGCAGGAGCTGTGGGCATTACTTAATTTCCTTCTTCCTAGCATATTTAATTCAGTACAGAATTTCGAGGAATGGTTCAATGCACCCTTTGCAGACAAATGCGAAGTAACTCTTACTGATGAAGAAGAGCTCTTGATTATTCGTCGATTACATCAAGTACTTGCCAGCAACTGTCATGTTTCATTTCACCATTATCATAGTCTTATTATAATAGTAATAATAATTATTATTATTATTATTTTATGATAGTCTATATTCTTAATGTTTCTTTATTCCTCAGGTTATAAGGCCTTTCCTTCTTAGAAGGAAGAAGGATGAAGTGGAAAAATATCTTCCTGGGAAAACACAAGTTATACTAAAATGTGATTTATCTGCTTGGCAGAAAGCTTATTATCAGCAGATCACTGACATTGGAAGGGTTGGACTAGAATCTGGTATGTTAAGAGTCAATTTTCTGGTTTCTTAAAATTGTTCTAAATGACATCTTTTGGTGTTGCTTCATATTGTTCTGCTCACTGGTTAATACTTTTAGGCAAGGTTTGCCATACTGTTTGGTACAGGCAGTATATACCAGTCCGATAAAGGACCAGTATTGGTGGTATCGTGGTACATCGGTACGCCCTCATGTATCATGTGTCACTCGATACAGCTTGGTACAGTTCGGTATGTATCATATCGACAGTTGGTTAGTACACAGAGACGAACCGGTAAGACGAACCATGCTTTTGGGTTAAGTTGGATTAGGAATAAAGAACAAGGTTGCAAAATCTTTTATTAAATAAAAAATTCAACAAGGACTAATTTGAAGGGATAATATAGTTTTAGATAACACAGAGAGAAAAGAAGGAATAAATACAGGCCTGAGATGGTCTTACACAACTAATATATTGTGAGAAAATATAATTTTATATTTATTCAACCATGTCTTTTGTTACAAACCCTTTCCTCATTTGTATAGGCCTCCAAGAGAAAGGAAATCTTAGCAAAGAAATTCTAAAATTTTTAGTCTAGTAATAAAATTAATCATATCATCTTCTCTGGCTAGAGAAATTCACATTTCCTTCTTGTTTAGGTAGATGATTTTTCTAATGCACGAGATCTTTAATTGAAAAAAGAAATCATCACATGAATACCTTCTCATCTACTTGCGGGTCAGCTTCCTTTTTTCTCAGGCAGAAGATAGTCTACAAACTAATTACATTTTTGAAAAAAAAAAACAACCCTTAAAACCAAATTATTCCAAAGACAGCAAAATGGCTTATGCATCACATATGCTATTCTATGGTGGTTTTATTAGAATGCAATTAAAACTGGCAAAGGAGATGATGACCTTGGAAGAAATTAAAGAACAATCTTTCATCAATTTTATCAACCAATCTATTTTATACTTGAAAGACTTTTCACTTCTAATTTGGATTGGTTGTGTAGAGCAGAAGTTATTTGAGATTGTTCCAGCCATATTGAGTTTTCTGATTGATTACCTACCTTGTGTAAGTATCTGAATATTTTATGCCAAATTACTGGCAAGAAAAAATTGGTAAGAGAGCTTTCTGTGAAACTTGGGACATCCAGACTCCAATTGGGAGCTGTAGAAATCTTATTGTATTTCTAATTTCTGGTTTTGGTATTTAACTGGACTGATTTATGTTGTAGTAGTCTTTCTATGTTAGCTATGGTGCAACAGTGTTACTAGTCTGAAATGTTAAAGACTGACTTGTTAGCTATAGGCACATGCAACACAAAATCAGTAGAAAAGTTAGTCATTCACCGAAGAATTTGATCTATTGTAAGTTTTATAGTTAAGGGACATGAGCTTTTCTTTGGTTTGCTCTTTATTTCCTTCCAGATCAGTGAGAACACTTATCAAATTTAAAATGCTAGAGTTGTGACTGTTATATGCCCATTTCACAAGGACCCATGTTGTAGATACTGGATAAATTGGGAAAATAAAATGTTGTGTGGTTTTGGCATCTCTCTTTCAAGATTTCTGTGTCCTCATTCTTCAAAATCCACTCTTTTGTAACTTTATTTGGTGCAACTACTGGCTGTTGGTTAATCGTTGCTGGATGCTTATTTTTACCTTATATAATCTTAACCATTAACATGGCTGGCATCCCTGAGTTGATTGTGGATTTAAACTTGTAATTATTTGAATTAGATACTTTTGATTAAGGATCAAAAAGCTGGTGGCCCGACTAGAACTGCACTTTGGTAAAAATGGCATTACTGTGTATTGACACAGCAATCAGTGGAAAAGAGAGAAAAAAGGAAGCTGAGAACAATCAAAATTTATGTAATGAGCGCTCATACTTGTGATTCCTATTCCTTGAGCGTTTGCTTTAAAAGTTGTTGCTGCTGTTTTGCCATTGTGATTTTCCTTTGAGCCCTTATCCTAGTATTCTAATGGTTTAGATGTTATGAACCCTCGAACAGGTTCACTAACAAAATCCCTGAATGGTCTGAGGAATATTGTGGCTGACTATGTTCTACCTGCTGATGTTCACTTCAACTAATGAATACTGGTCTGCATGGTTGTTACAGGCCATTTTTTAAAATTCTTGCTTTTGATGCGCCCTCTGGATGATTTCGCTAAAAGAGGGACAATTTTTTTCTTTATTAACTCAGAAGAGTCTCTATAATCTAAAGATTCTGTTCTGTCAGCCACCTGTCTTGGAGATGCTATAGTTGTACATCATATACAATATATGTAGTTTTCACTTATTAATAAATGTTTATGCTGATGTGGGGTTATTCACAAAATGCAGGCATAAAGTCAAAGAGCCTTCAGAACTTGTCGATGCAACTTAGGAAGTGCTGTAATCATCCTTACCTTTTTGTAGGAGATTATAACATGTGGCAAAAGGAGGAAATTGTCAGGGCATCAGGAAAGTTCGAGTTGCTCGATCGTTTACTTCCAAAACTGCAGAAATCTGGTCACAGAGTTCTCCTTTTCTCACAGATGACTCGTCTTATTGATATCTTAGAGATTTATTTGCAGTTACATGGTTTTAAATACCTTAGGCTTGATGGGTCGACTAAGACAGATGATAGAGGAATGTTTCTCAAACAGTTCAATGCACCAAACTCTCCATATTTTATGTTTCTTTTGAGCACTCGAGCTGGTGGGCTTGGATTAAACTTACAGTCTGCAGATACTGTTATAATTTTTGACAGTGATTGGAACCCCCAGATGGACCAACAAGCAGAAGATCGAGCACATCGAATCGGCCAGAAGAAGGAAGTCCGTGTCTTTGTCTTGGTCAGCGTTGGATCAATCGAGGAGGAAATCCTGGAACGTGCAAAGCAGAAGATGGGTATAGATGCAAAAGTGATCCAGGCAGGGTTGTTTAATACTACGTCCACTGGTCAGTATTTTTTTTATAAAATGCCATAATACCTCAGTTATTAAGTTTTTATATATTTTCTTAAGACGAATTTTGACATAATGATGATGTGCTGCTGGTTTTACCTTCCAGCGCAGGACAGGCGAGTGATGTTGCAGGAGATCATGCGGCGTGGCACAAACTCGCTGGGAACTGATGTGCCAAGTGAGACAGAGATCAACCGCCTTGCAGCAAGAACCGAAGAGGAATTCTGGCTGTTTGAGAAGGTGGACGAAGAGAGACGACAAAAGGAAAGGTATAAATCAAGGCTGATGGAAGAAAAGGAGGTGCCCGATTGGGTATATCATAAAACAAATCAAGAAAAAACCAAAGAGAGTATTGGCGTGGATACACGAAGCGGTGAGGTCACTGGGAAGAGACGGCGTAAGGAGGTTATTTATACTGATTTATTGAGTGATGTCCAGTGGATGAAAGCTGTGGAAGACGGAGGAGACTTGTCAAAGTTATCATCTGCAGGAAAAAGGAGCAGGTTCCTGTTTGGTACACATGAATCTGGCGAACAGCCATCTGAATCTGACGAAGTGGTAGGGCAAAATATGACCAAGGAAAAGAATATGGACTCCATGGTTTCTGTGGGTGTCAGCGATGATTCAAGCAAAAAACCAGTAAAATACCAATCTGGAAATTTACCTGACAACAAAGATGAAGAAGGGGATGCCGGCGGTTGGCAGGAGAAGATCATTACATGGAGGTCTCACAAGAGAAAACGCTCGAGCCATGGTGTCTCAAGTTCAGCATCTGACATATAAGGATAATAGAACTTTATCCCGGTTGAATTTGGCTTAGATCAGTTAGAAGACATAGTCAAACAGTAAGAAGTTAGTGTTTATTGTTCTAGTAGCCTAGTGGTGTGTGTATACTTTCTTTGTTGTTCTATGAGCTTAGGAGGAGCACTGTGCAAGCCGAGGCAGTTTATGGTAAATCAACCTCTGCATGTAAATTAGGGATTCATGTAGTCAGCTGTCATTGCTGCATTGTATGTGAGATAATTAGGTGTTCTGGTCATGAAACATAGGTTTTGTACCATGTTACGTAGCAGCAGCATCTCATTTATACAGAATGTGTGAATTAGCATTTTTAACCGCTGCATCACTTACGATTATTCTGTCAGAAAAAGAAGTCAGCACTAGTTTCTTCTAACTATTATTGTTACCGCCGATCAACGTAGATCTACTTTATGTTGCAGGGAAGCGGCCATGACGATCCTGTGGCTGCAAGAAAGATGATAGCTAGAGGGCGCAGCATCATTACCTACCTGTCAGGTTTGAAATCGTTTTCACAGCCCTTATTTTGTTTTGTGTTCAGGTTCAGAACTATGTTTCTCTTTTTGTCCGAGTACATGCCGTTTACGGGATGGGATGGTTTCTCCTACTTTTCTCATCATAAACACGAGATTGTGCTTTTTTACCTTCGTTTATGTTCTCCGTACACCGTAGATGATCATTGGTTGTTTTACATGGTCTTAAATTTGTGGCATATGCGACGGATTAGTTATATCAGAAGGTGGTACCGAACGAAGGATGTGAATCCGTTCCCTCTTTTGGAGCCGATATGCTGCACGAACAGTCCCTATTTTGGATGGTCCAATCCAACCCAATCCAATCATATATGCAATATATTCTTATGCACCCATCATGAGATCCTTTCATCGTGCACGGCTATCATCCTCCATCCTCTTCGTCGACTATCTCCTCTCCTTTCTTCTTGTATTCCTCCACAATTTCTTCTTCTTCTTCCATTCTCTTTCTCTTGTATTTTTCCTCCACATCTTTTCATCCTTCCTCCACTCTTTCTTCTTCTTCTTCTTCTTCTCTTGTATTTTTCCTCGCACATCTTTTCATCCTTCCTCTTACCGTATGTTGGTATGTACTGATTCAATCAGGGACAGATACGTACCAAAATCGTGTTCTTTGGTTGCATGTGATCTGCAGTTCTATGCACCTCCATGGCTGCAGATGCAATCCAGCAGAGGCCCACAGGTAAAAACATGCTCTCGGCCACCCCAGAAAAATATAATGAAAAAAGAAGATGATGTAAAGCAACTGTACTCGTTTAAATGAGCCACAATAAACATATTAATGTTTTTAATAACAAAAAACAGTCACAAATATATTCGGAAATTACACGAGCCAAAAAGAGCCATTTTTGTTTAAATGGTTTGCTCACTAGCTATATATATACTTGTTGGTCCCGTCCAAGGATGCTTTGTGGTGGATGTCAACCACACTAGTCATGGACTCGGATGTAGCCCCCTCTTAGCCTCCCCTCCACTGAAATCAGTTTTTTCCTCTGCTAATGAAACAGGGTATGCGACTCTCGCCATTTTACAGTTTTGCCTGCAAGTCGCACAAAGCAGACATACTCATTTAACCGTAAGGATGATGCCTGTGTCGCTCGTGTCGATCTTTGTCACGGGATGAGTGTGAGCTGTGGTAATCACTGCGGTCTTCAGAGAGAAAAAAAGGGTTTCCTGGTTTCAGTGGAGAGCTCTAAATTTCAGTATACAAAATGATAGCAGAAAAGGTTACCAACATACCTCGTGACGAATGATGTCTTGATTTTTCTGAGTGTCCTGCAAGAAAAACTCAGGATCAAATGGATGCAGGATGTAGTTAAAAATGTGTCTTCAGGTTTTCTTGTGCAGAAGAAAACCTGAATGTACATGGATAAAGATTGAGTTTAATGTTTCGTACCTGAACCCTTGTCCTTGGCACGATGTCTTCGGTCCTTTTCTCTTTCACGCTCAACATCCTTCTCTCGGTCTCTATCCCTGTCAGAATCTCTACCCCTACCATCATAATCGGAGTCTCTGCCCCTGCTGTCACGATCTCTGGTCTTTGTCCTCTCCCTTTCTCTATCATAGTTCCTTTCCGTATTGGCATCAGCCTTATGATCTATCTTAGGCTTCACGGTGCTCTCTTCTTTATGGTCCCCTTCAGCAGCCACAGTCCTAGTGTCATCATCAGTTTTCTTTGACACCTTCAATTTGTCTAGAGCTGCTTTCACAATTGCTTCTTTGGACAAACTAGCATCGGAATTTGGAGCTCCAAGCTTGAGTGTGCTGGTCCCGTTGGTGTCACCGTCGGCCGAGCTTTCCTAATCAAAACAGCATGACCATAGGTTATAACTCATGTTAAACTACCAAGTTATGACTTGAGTTCCAAGAGTGGGGCTGTACTTACAACCTTCTGAACTTGAGCTTGCTGATCTGAGTTCTTATTTCTTGAAGTGAAAGAATCATTGTCTTTATACACGGGAACATATTGTGCCTTCGGAAGGCTGTAGAGATGTGCAAGAACTCTACAAACTTCATCAATCCCAGCCTTATCTGCGTCAAAAACTAACCACCAGGGTGGATTTTCAGGTAGGGGGACCTGGAACCTGCGGGCTGCAGCATATACAACACCACACGCTACCACTTCGCTCTTGAACCGAACACAGAGAGTTGTCCGCAAGCTTATAAATTAACAAAGAAAATGTCATAAGGATAGCTTTTAAAAGTGCAAAATTGTCCAGACTTAATAAAAATAACTACAAAAAAAGAGTAGAACTTTGCTTGTTACACAATAAAATATAGAAGCAAACATACTCCAATCAAATGGAAAGTTGATGAGCCATAAACAGGAAACAAAAGTATTGAACTGAAAAAATACAAAGTGCCCAATGATCAGAGTACACAAGTATTTGATATAACAGTGAATAAAAATCCACTTCAAGTAACTACTACAGAATCAAGGAAATGAGGCAAGGGAAACATGCAAAAGATAGAAAAGTTCCTAGCATTAAGTAACATAATAGGATAAAAGAAACTTTCAAGTCACTCCAGCATAACTGCAAAAACATTTAAAAAACTGCTACAAAAAAACCATTCACAGAGAACTTAAAGTGACAATATATGAGAAAAGTCAGAATCCTTGAGATGAAAATATTAAAGAAACTGGAGCTATAGATGAAAAGGGAACCTAGAATAAAAAAAACCTTTCACCACTTAAGGACACTATCCATTATGGACTTCACATATGCACATGCTCAGGCTCTCTCAAGATATTTACTTTTGAAACTTACTCAAGACTAATCTGACTGTGATTCTGAAGTTCTCGTACATGTCCTCAGAGCTAAGACTCTATTCCCCAAAGAACTAGGAACCTAATTCTAATCCATAGAAAGCAACAACTTTTCATGTTTGTGTACTGGTAGGATGATCCAGATGCCGATCAACTCATAAACAAAGACTATCCTAATATACAGAGGTCATAAATTGACGAAATATATCCTTTTGCCTGAAAACAGTAAAAACATAACCTCAAACCACTAGCAAAAACAAAAAATAGCCATGCAAATTCAACATAGAACCACCATGTGGGTCCAGCCCTCATTTACTATATTGGTGAATCAAGTCAATTTAAAGGCAATTCTTGGCAACCTTGCCATTCAAGTCCATCCCAAAAGAAACTTTACAGGAACACTATGCTGCAATATTTCATTCGGAACAACAATAATCAATTAACTCCATATAAAATTGAGCCAGTTCAGGGCGAAACTGAAGCCAAAACTGTAAGCAAGGTTAAAACTTCCAAAAAAAATCTTATACTTCAATATCCAAATTTTGTTCAAGCCAAGTTCTTCTCTTGGATTCACAAATTTAACACTGCTATTTCAAGTTGTCAGTTCCCCTAATATATTAAATATAGCAGCATAAAATGGCAAAGTTTATGAGTCAGCAAATACATTCAAGAAAAGTTCATCAAATTATGACAACCTCATTCAGCATGACTTAACCCTAATTAACATGCATTGAAGTTTCGAATGACTCTGCTGTTTAGATGCATCAAAACTGGGTTTCTAACTGGTGGCTGACACCTCAACTCTGAGTGTATAAGTTGTTCATGCCATAGCAATATACGTGTGAAGGTTCTACAACAAATGAGTTTATGAATCAGAAAATATATAAAACTGAAGAAGAAATAACACAAATAAATCAAGAAGTATCAATTGATCATCTAAATATTAAGAATCTCTGGAACTTGCAATTTATATAAAGTAACAAAACAACAGGTAGCACCAACTATGAAACATCTAAAGCAACAACAGTGCTCTTTAAACCACGACTAAGACGGTAAAGTACCTGTCATTGGCCAGATTCCAAGCTTCTTGTCTCAGCTCCGGAGGAGCCTCAAGTGTCGCAAGGTAGTTAGATATAAACTTATGAGGATGCTCAACATGGCAAATAAAGCCCATTTCTTTCAGCAAATGCCGCTCTGTTCTTACCAAATCATTCTTCAGCTCTGTGTACTTCTGACATGAAAGTAAGACAGAAAGAATAGTGTATATGAGAAAAAAACACATCAATCAGCGCAGCGATGTACCAACGCTGCTGTAACTGGTGTTAAGAATAATGTCAAAGCGATAAAATGATAAAACTGAAACAAATCAAATCCATCCCACCGAATAAGCATCAAGATTTAAATAATTTGTAAGGAAACTTTTTTAGGAACTTAAAATCCAAATCCTGAAAGCAAATAAGAAACATTTTGAGAAGGTAAATTCACCTTGGATAAGACATCCAGAAGCTCAACCGGCAAGCTTTCCCTCCTACATTCCATCCTGTGAAAGACAATGATTACATGTTTTGCTTTCTTGGGGCATTCCTCCAACTTCGAAGCTAACCACACACAGCTTGCAGCAACTCTCTACAAATTAATATGAATCCAGTTTATAGTGAGAAATATGCAATAAAAGGGTTAACAGAGAGAGAGAGAGAGAGAGAGAGAAGTAAATTTCGAAATGAAGCTTGAGGTTTATACCTTCACGCTAAAGCGGGCGAAGGACTTCTTGCAGTAGAACCGATGGAAAAGCACCTGCCCAGTGGCCATTACCGCTTGCGGTCTTAATAGCTAAGGAACTCACAATAGAAATAAACTTGAAGGAAGATGTTAAGTCATAAAACTGATGATTGCTGTCACATACACAAATCTTTCATAACTATAAACAATGGCATATCCCATGACAACGGGGAAGAGGATACAGTTTAAGAAGAATGCCGCTCTCCTGTATGAGGTCGCATCCATAGATCCGCAGCGTGGTCTCTGTCTCCTCATCGATCCCATCTTTTCTCGACGGCGAATTCTTCAGCTGCTCATCGGTGAGGTAGAAGGTGTCGATCGCAGTATATATCATCCTTACCCCAATCCAATAGCACGATTTGGCGAATCTACAACACAAATCGTCAACAAGCAGGACCAACACCTGCATTATTATTCAGGGCGAAGTTTCGAGATCAAGTTCGAAAACCCTAGAAAAGCTTTCAAGAACCCAAAACCAATAAGCTAATCCATCATACGCACCGAATTGACGATAACGACAAATCACCACAGCATCAACCATTTAGAAAGGCCAAACCCTCCGCATCGATCGGGTGAAACCCCACCTCGAATCGCGAAAAACCGATAAAGAAACAAAAGGGCGAAAACTGGGCGGGCGCAGACACGCACACGAACCCAAGAGAGGGAGACGTACTTGGAGGGCGGAGAGGAAACGCCGCCGTCGACCGTCGAGCTCTCCTTACAGCCACCGAGCTCTCCTCACGGCACGGCGGAGACTGTCGGGTCGTCGATCGGGGGAACTTTAGCCACTGATGAACAGTTGGGGATTCGAAATCACCTCCGGTCTTTTAATTTGATTTCGCCGAATCCGGTTCGGGTTCGGTTAAAGCATCATGGAGTGGACCGGGTCGGATTGTGCCAAAATGGGATCCGAATTCGCCCGCTTCGATTATCGAGTCTATTTTTTAATATAAAAAATAAAAAAATATTTCATCAAAGAATAATTTGATTGTCATAATTTGATGTTAATTAGGATTATTAAGTCGTGCTGAATGTGTTTATGATCGTTTCACAACTCGAATCCGAGCCCTATCGTTTCACGACTCGAATCCGAGACGTATCGCTTCTTCGAGTCAGCTTTCAACACCGGCATTAGAGGAGGAGGAGGAGGAGGAGGAGGTCATGCTCAGGAACAGCAGCGGATCACCATTTCCCACAGGCTAATGTTTCTGATAGTTTAAGTGCTTCATCTCACGATCTTGATCACTCGTAAAACACAAGATTGTTGCAGAATTGAGAGGCAGAGTTGCAGAAATGTGTTGTCTTCTTCTTTTTGCTTTGACAAAGAATCTCAATGATGAAAGAACAAAGAGAACGAATAAGACGGTCATGGTGAGTAGAGAGAGAGAGACGTCGGGAACTCAGGAGTCATGGGTAGCCATGGGCAAGGCAGGCCTCCCAGAACAGCCTAGCGCTCTCCGCGTCCGACGCCGCCGCAGCTGGCTCGTTCGCTCCTCGTCGGTCGTCCACCTTCCCCACCTCGTACTCGGGCGCGCGCTCCACCAGCCAGCATCTCCACGACACGCACCTTTCTTCCACCTCGCCTTTACCTACGGCAGCACCGCCTTCATCGTCGCCGCCGCAGCAGGACTCCGCGTCGTCGCTGTCGTACGCCATGGTTTCTGAAGGCGCCATCGCGATCGCATCGGCGACGGAGTCTCCACTTCCCTCCGAGATTCCTTCAGAGGATTCATCCTCCTCCGGAATCCAATCCATGCACCCGCAAAGGATAGAGACGGAAGGAAACAGGCAGAGGTAAGCTACATACAAATATACATATCTATAAGGATTGGAGTATCGTAAAACATTCTATAAAACGTGATGTTATATGTTGATGATTCAATGAATCCTTTTTTCCTCCCTCACCTAAATCTTTCGTGAGAGGTGTGTTGAAGACGCGAGGTGGAGGTAGGAACGGGAGAAGGTGGTCGGGGGGGGGGCGGCGTGGGAAACGTGCGGGCAGAAAGAACTCGACCCGTCGGCAACGACGTGACAACTAGAAAGAGGGAGAGAGTCACCGGTTGCCGGTCACGATCAGCCATGTCTCGCTCGCAAAAAGAAGCATACTTCTAGAAGTCCACCAATACTGTGATTGATTCCTAGGTTTACATTTCGTGGGTCAAAAGGTTAGCTTAGCTGTGCAACACAAACATTATCCGAGTTTGTGACCTCATCAATAGCCATCGCTTATAATTGATGAAGACATCTTGACTACACCAACCACCGAGATTATATATATATATATATATGGCAAAATTCTCATGTACAACCTGGTCAACTGTGATGGCTTGCAGTCGCACCGACTGTAACTTTCTCTTTGCATCTTTTCCACAGATCAAATATAGTCGAAGACTGGCAACATCGTTGACCATTAAAGACTTCACATTTACGTAACAGTATATGCGCGCGGACATGCATCGTCACACAGCACACAGTGAAAGGACTCTGATTAAACTGAGGGATAGGCATAACAGTTGCTTGATCAGATGAATGAAAGAAAAGAAACTTCAGCTCATCCGAGGAACGTAGTTCTGCAATCAAATTTGAGGAACAAGAGCTTTGTTTCATGACTCAAATATAAGGATATAAGCATTGAAAGATTTAAGACTCCAAAGCAGACTCAAACTCGAAAAAATCAACAGCAGCCATGGTTGAGCTTATTCACCAACATTGGTTTCTGTTTGTTTCATTTGAGAAGTTGTCAGGTTAGAAGATTATTTGCGTAGAAATCTGCGAGTTGCTGTGAAACTCTCAGTTGGTCTTCTGTGTTGGTAAAACCAAGAATGATAGATCTGTAGCATAAACTCGATGAAATGCAACTTAAAACCTGCTCTCAAGCAAGTATAAGCGGATGTACCGGCTTTGCTCTTTGGTTAAGTACACGACTTAGCTTCACTGTTGACTTCAAGACTGTTCTTGTGCTTTCTTCTGGATTAAGTGCACAAGGAGACAACACTCATGGCTCTAGAAGAAGCATCTCAAGGGCATGACGGATCCATACTAGGTGTTTCTCCTCCCTCCAAATCTAAGGTTTAGATTGTCATACATGCGCCCAACCAACACAAGCCTTGGATCATCTGCTGGTATCTCCCTTTCCTGAAAAAATCAATGAAGACATGCACATAATTGCAAGTTGCAAAACCGAATCTGTTAACACTGTGATAGGACCAAGATAGATTCAAGGCTGCACAAGTTAAGAAAAAAGGCATCGGTCTTTTACTCGAGAATGACCGATGTATGGCCAGGTAGATAACGCTTCAAGGTCTATGAATCTAGTCGTTAGCTAATCCCAAATAGTTTGGAATGTAGATATTAAATCTTACTGCTTCTGACATAAGTCTCTGAACCTTCCTAATTAATGCTGCTAAATCTTAGTGCTTCATGTATAGTCTGCAAAATTTCCTAACTAATACAGCACATATATCGGTAATGAGATGGTCTGTTACCTTTAAACCTTCATAATAGGCCTTCACTGCAGGAAGAGATGGACTGATCCTGCGGCTTTGCAAAAGATCCCATACATAATTGGCAGTAGTGTATCCACCCGTCTGTACAATTATGAGTTTGTATTAGTATATTCTCCAACACCACCAAGCCTACAAGCCTACCGTCTTTTTCAGGTAAAGACCCAAGACCGGATAATATGGATGGCAAACTCGCAGTGCAGCATTGCCAACAAAAAAACATGGAACACAAACTTGTTAGGTTGAATTATCTTAACAACATGATCATGACTCCAATATGAGGTATCACAAGAGCAAAAGCAATAGATGCAGACCATTTTAGTGGCTAAACATATTGCTAATTACCTTTTCTCCTGCTGCTGCAAGAAGAAGGTCACTTCCCATCTTCGGGTTCAAGAAGAATCCTCTTGCATACATTTTCTCCTATAAGATGATGAGATTAACTTTTTATATTAGAAAAATTACCTTATCAAATAAAATGGTTCAGAAGTGTTAAATCAACATCCAATATTTGAAGAATCAAATACCAGATTCTCTTGAGCAATTTGCATTCCTCTAGGAGTATATCCAACCATTGCTCCTTCAATCAAGGTCTGTACATTACACATAAAAAAAAAAACAAAAAGTAAAAGCTCAAGCAGAAATTTTATTAGTGACCACAAAGACTTGATTGTGTTGCGAGAAATGATCTAAATGCCACGATATGGCAGAATAGTGGACGTAAAAAGTGAAAATTGTTTCTTCATTCTTTCACTTCCTTTGCCCTTTTTCTTAGATGGGTGAAATGGAAGTAACTGCAATTGTCAAATTGCTCCAAACAATTAGCAGGTATAAACTTAGTTTTGACTTTTGACAAAGTATGACTTAGTTTTATGCTTTGATATCCATATATTACGTTCGGTAAGGTTTGAACTTCAAGGGTAATAACATTCACAGGACCAGTATCAACATACAACCACATTTATCTTGCAAGGTTTGTAACACTCGAAGAAGTCAGCCAAAGATGGAAAACCGGGTCAGGTAGAAGTAAAAGAAGTTTGGAAAGGTATTCAACCTGCAATTCTGACAATTCAGGACACGGAAAATCTTATAGAACAATTAATGGAGAATCTGGGGATTGCAAACCTAAAACCCGCTTACTCTCGTATTTCTTCTGTCATCTCCTCCTTATTTTATCATGCATCCAAAACCTCACACTTCTTCCACTAGAACAAGAAATATCACATGGATATAGTAGTGAGTCCATACCTCACGTATCTGAGTATGATAATGTAAACTTACCACATACAACTCAGCAGTTGGGGGTCTTGAGCTTGTATACTCTTCAAAGATCTTAACACCAGAGTCAATATCCTCACAATTGAAGTAACACCTATCCCCAAGGCCATTTACAAACATCAAAAATACCAGTCAGTACTCAGCTGCCAAGACTTAACCAAGAAATGCTTCAAAGCTACAAACACAATCCTTGTAAGCAAGGCATTCTCGCTAGGAGAAAATTTTCAAATGTCTAATACATATCTACTTGTGTCGGCGGAAGAGAAAATAATAAGCAAGCTAACCAAGATACTTTACACCAGTTAGACCAATCAAAACATATAGGATGAGGGTCAAGGTGTCACTTAAGTGACAACTAAAGAAAGACATCAAATTATAATGACCCTTATGTTATAGCATAAAAAAAAAAGAAATAAAGAAAGGCAAACAGGAAATGTAATCCATACATGGCACTGTATATTGTCATCTCGGACCATGTGATTGAACCCTCCATATGTGCAATATCATGCAAGCCTTGCAGGGTAGTGACATAAATGCATCCTCATATGTGGCTGTATGAACTGCTTTCTAGAACAATCATATAATGGTACACTTCTTTTGATGCATATATTGCTACAAGAAAAGATGGATGTATACCCAAGTCAAATAGGTCATGAGTATGCATTGTCGTAAAAGGTCTTCGAAGCTTCAACTGACTTGTAGATCAATCCACACAAGACTTAACTTTAACAAACCTCCTATGCATTTAAGTTATATAAGATTTACATCTAAATAAGGAAAAATAATCTTGATGAGCAAAGTGTTCATAATATAACTTGTATTTCCCTTCAATTGCTCATCTCGATAGGATAGAATAATTTTCCACAATGTCATACTCCTTTCCAATTTATCTAACTTTGCAAAGAAGCATGGATCGCTCATATTTTGATTGAGACCCATAATTGCTAATGCTCCAGTTATTATGGCTTTTAGCATGTTTGTGATTTCTTGTTGCTTTAATATAATCTCACTACTTCTCACATAACTTCAAAGAACAGATCAATAATTTTCATCTTGCTCCGAGGAACATGTATGCGTACCAATGAAAGATCAGAAGAACCACTAGCTGTGATATTTACATGTACGTCCTCAACCTTCTATGTACTTGATCTTCACATAAAAGATAAAATACGCCCTTAGTTGTAAAGAAGCTGAACTAGTTTATAACATGCTTTAGCCACAATGTTGTATATAGTTTATTTAATCAACAGTGTTCTTCGCAGTTGATGAGGATGGACAATCTACTTTCTTCCAACATTATCATAGCATATAGTTTTGTCTCAGAAAGTAATCTTCTATATGGCCTCTCATCTATAGTAGGTTACAAAAAGAAACAAGAGCAGTGATATCACGGCTCCAGCAAAAGAAAAGGAAAAGCATCCATGAAATATGATTTAATTAAAAACTTATGATAATTTTGTCATTAGGGAAAAAAACTATTAAAATGGTCGCAAGAAACTCCCTCCTTTCCACAAAATACAAACATCATTCTAAAATGTGCAATAACTAGTACTGGATCAGAAGAAAATGGGGAGTAAATATTCAACATTTCTGTCAGAACCTAAATCAGGAGTCGATTGTAATAACCATCATGATCAAGTCATGCAAGGTTAACCTGTCGGTCACAGCAATATTCCTATAGCAAAACAAAACAAAAATATCCTCCAACCAAACCTTTCAGTCAGATACCCTCAAATTAAGTATCTATCAGCCTAAGTATATGTGAAAGAGAATAGTTCACAATATGTAATAACATGTTTGAACAACAGATAGCCTATCACCTTTGCACCACAAAGATCAGCAGCTAACCACATTTAACTCCTTAGCCATGGGTTGCATGTCATGGTTAACCCAAGTTACAAGTGCCCGCACTGGACAAGTTCTGGAATCAAGAAACACATCTATGAATCCTGTTCACGGGAATGCTAGCATCATATGCTAAGGGCATTGGTCTTCCAAAACATATTTAAACCCACTTTTTCATAGAAACACAAGTTATTAAACTGACAATCACCTGTTTTGCAAACATAGGAGAGTCGAATTTACTCTAAAAATAGTATATTCTAGAAACACAGAAGCAGTAAGCAAAAGACAAAATTCAAACCATTCACAAGCTTACTCCATAAAATCAACAACCTAAAAACAAATAGCATGGCATCAGATGGTACTTAGACACTTCAAAATGTCTTCAACACCAAAAGATGTAATAGGTTGGTGGCCATATATCTTGCAATACATCCTCAGAACTGTTCAATAAATGACTAAATAAATCTAAAACAATTTGTTGTGATTAAAAGGAATCTAACTGATTTATGATGACATTGGAACGTTATCAGGAACAATATGTCTTAAAAATAATTCCGGTAAACTAATAGTCAAATAAACCATATATATATATATATGTGTATATATATATATATGTGTGTATATATATATATATGTGTGTATATATATATATATGTGTGTATATATATATATATGTGTGTATATATATATATATATATATATATATGTATATATGTATATGTATATGTATATATATATATGGATATATATATATATACATATATATATACATACACATATATATATACATACATATATATGTATATACATACATATATTTATATATATATATGATTTAAGCACCAGATGTGGGCCATGCATGACCCTACAGTAGAAAGTGATTGGCACCAAGATTGATGAAGAAAGTTAGGTAAAGGTTGTGTACGTTTACCCTTCCAAGATCATATATTGGTAGGAGCCTTGTACACTGGGCCATTCTTTAGCACATGACCCTACAATCCATATTGGTGACTCTGGCAACAACTAATTAGGAGGTCAGGTACCAGTTTTGTTGTAATTAAAGGATAAATTTGGACTAAAAATTCTTTTTCTTTTCCTGGAAAGTACTTTTTTGTCTCCCGCACCCAAAATCCCATTCTAACCTAACCTTACAGATTAAAAAAATATCTTGCATAACATAGTACAATTTTCAAAAGCCTTCATAACTAACTGAAAACTGATAGATAGTCACTCTAGATTATCCCATAAAAAGGATGTAATAATACAATTTTTATACTACCACAAGTTGGTTGAACATTATTTGCTAGAACCTGAGTGTTACATATTATTATCAAGATTTAACATTTTTCTATAATGACAACAGTTTGATACTTTCATATTTCATCAAGTTTCAGTATAACAAGACAAAATTTAATTTGAAAAAGAACAATAAGACAAACTAATAGTAGTGCCAAAACAATCATCCACAATGCATCAAATCAAAGATCAGCATCACTATGACAGGATTATTACAATTATTTGATCCCAAGGATACAATATGTAAGCAGGAAGTCCATTATAAATTTTTTACTTACCTCATCGCTTGCATCACGATGAAAACATCATATGAATAACCATCTCTTTTGATCGTATCAAGAAGTGTTTCCACTGTCTACCGGGAAAATAAAAAACATATGATATTTAAGAACTAATATTGCAGCAAATTCCAATAAAAAAACTTCATATAGATTTAAATTGTACCTCTTTGCTCTTCAAATCTGCACAAGCATTCAAGGCTACATGATAGACTGTTAACTGTCTGTTTATAAATCCTCTTCTGTGCACAAATTCTGCAGTAGGAATGTTGTACAACTCTTCCTCTGACACATTCATCATAACATTCTCTCCACTGTCTGTTGAGGTTTCGATGGAAGACCACCCCTTTGATTGCTTGACAAGCTCAATAATCTTTCACAAAAAAGGCAGAATAATACATTAATGTCCAATGTAACATATGTGAAAGGAAAAGACAAAATCTGCATCACATACTTTTGCAGTGGTCTCTTCAGTAGTAGGTAGCTTGTTTTTAAATGCAGTTATAAGTCCAGCATAGCAAAACTTGTTTAACCCAAGACCGGCAGCAGTCATGTCACGGACAATGGCATAGCTGTAACATAACTCAATAGTTTGCAAGCAGTCATCGTAGAGTAATTATAAATCCAAATAAAAAGGAGAGAAATTTAAGAATTAATTAGAGATAAATTTTACATCAAGATTTGCTTGTCTAAGGGTTGGCCAGTGAAGAAACATACATAAGGTCACATTTCATTTGTCCGTAATATCCAACCAACAGCATTAGCTATTGTAAGCAACGTGCAGCATGAGACATGCATGCACTAAACTTCCATTCACACCTGGACTAAACCTGTTTGTCCGGCAGTCTTATGTTTCAAACTTGTTAGTCTCAGTGATGAATGTATTTTCTAGATCCATCACCACTTACTAACCAAATACAAATATCACGGTGAACCAGCTACTAGTATATTCAGATGTATTGTGTGTTTAAAATGTCTCTACAAGACAGTGATGAATGTATTTTCTAGATCCATGACCACTTACTAACCAAATACAAATATCACGGTGAACCAGCTACTAGTAT